TCCATTTCTTCTTTTTATGTAGGATGAATGCTGTAGAAAGTTTTTCGTAGTCTCTTTGTATCCACTGTATATTGTCAGGGAACATGCATGGATTTCTATCTTTTAAGTTGTTGTAGTGTATGACGATTTCCTTCCTGAGTTGGTCTCTTTTGGAGTAGAGTAGGTGAAGTAGATGATTTCTAATTTTCTCTGAAGTTCTTCTGCATAGCTGTGCAGCATATTTGGAGTTGTGTGTAGTAGTCAGAGGACTGTAGATGTTTATATTACATTTCTGGAGGTGCAGCTGTAAGATCCTGGGATGCTGATGGCTCTGTTGGGTGTAGTAATAGTGGGGGTGGTGGAGATGTGTTGGCAGGTTTTTCATTTCTTGTCCTGGCATTTAGGAGTTCTGCATTTTCGCGGGGAGTGACTGTGGGCTGTCCCTCAGTATTCAGTATGGGTCCCATAGTGGAACCCATTTTTTTTTTTCTTGTTCCCTGTGTATCTATCTATAGAAGGACTTTTTGTTGTCCTTTATTTCGGTTGCCAGCTTGATCTCCATGCCTGCCTTGGCTTTCCGTGTCTCGTATCTGCAGACCCTGGTGATATAAGTGTATTCCTCTCTGGTTGCTGAACCATTCTTCCATAGCTTGTATGCTTCTTTTTTCTTTTTCAATAGTTCCCTAATGTCCCTGTTGAGCCAAGTGGGTTTCTTGACTCCTTTCCCACTTTTTGTCCACTGGGGATGGCCTGTTTCTGAGCAGTGAGAATTGCCTCCTTAAAGAAGCACCACTGTTCCTGAATTCCCAAATAATCCAGTCACTGGTCGCAGATGACCTCTCCAACTAGCCTCCTGAGTTTGCCAAAGTCTGCCTTTATGAAGTCTAGGACTTCTTCTGTTCTGCTGACTGATTTCCCAGCCTTGCAGTGGATGGTGAACCTAACCAGGTCGTGATCGCTGTCACCCAGGGCACCTCCAAACATTAGGTCACCTATTGCATCCTCCCCTTTGTTCAGCACTAGGTCCAGAATAGCCTTACCCTTAGTGCCGGCCCTTCCACAACCTGTGTCAGGAACAACACAACCTGTTGTTGCCAAGAAGTTAGCTGACCTGCTGGAGCTGGCCGAATTGTCCTCCCAACAAATGTCAAGGTAGTTGTAGTCACCCATGACAGTCATGTCTCTAGCACTATGTGCCTCAGTCAGTTCCCCATAGAATGCCTGATCACTCTCTTTTTGGGAGGGAGGCCTGGAGTAGACTCCTACCATCAGGTCTCCCTTTCCTGATCCCCCTTGTATCCTGACCCAGAGGGTTTCAAGGGACCCTTCCCTACAATCAAACATGACCTGCAGGGAGGGGTATCACTCTTGCACATGGAGGGCCAAACCTCCTCCCTTCTTCCCAGCCTGATCCTTCCTATAGAACCTATACCCCTCAGTATTCACTGTCCAGTCTTGTGTGTTGCCCCACCAGGTCTCTGTCAACCCAATCAGATCAAATTCCTCGTCTACCCAAAGGAGTGCCAGTTCCTCCTGCTTATTTTCCATGCTTCTGGCATTCCCATAAAGACACCTGAGTTCTCCCCTAGCTTCCTTAGGTTTTCTGTCATGCTGCCAGCATCTCAAGATATCAGTACTTATCTGGATGTCCATTGCTTGAACGCCCTCCACTGTGTCATGGCTATAGCATTTGTGTACAGCACTGGAACTTTCTCCCCAGCCCCTGGACATGCCTAGTTTAAAATCCTCCTCAACAAATTGGTGATTCTTGTACCGAAGGACTTCTTCCCTCTGCTTGTGAGATGAATAACGTCCCTTGTGTGTAGACCACTGGCAGAGAACGGCCTATCAAGGTCGAGGTATCCAAAGCCTACATGGTGACACCATCTCCTAAGCCTTCAGTTGACCTCCTCAGTGTACTCCTCCCTCCGGCCACGGCCTCTGTCTGGGAGGATTGAGGAGAAGACCACTTGTGCTCCTAGTTCCTTGAGCTTTGCCCCCATGGTCTTGTAGTCTCTCATGATTCTCCTGGAGCTGTTTCTCACCATGTCGTTGGTGCCCATGTGAACAAGGAACATGGGGCAGTGGTCACTAGGACGGGCCGGTTTAGGGTTTCTCATCATAATATCTCTGATCCTGGCTCCTGGAAGACAGCAGACCTCTCGAGCAAAGGGGTCTGGATGACAAATGGCTTCTTCTGTGCACCGCAGCAGGAGTCCCCCATGATGATCAACCTTCTTTGTTTCCTTGCTGGAGTCGGCTGATCCTGTCCTGTCTTCAGTGCAGAGGACATGGAAGTAGTCTAGTCCTTTTCAGAATAAACTAACCTGTTTCGCTTTATAACAAGTGCAGTAAAGTATAATTCATAACAAATGCATGGTTTCCACTCTCATTTATACAAAAGTGTCGGGGGGGGGGGCAGAATCCAGAATCTCCTCCTAGAGATCCTGAGAAAACTCAAATACCATATTTACCTGAATCCAAGTTGACTTCAAATTTAAGATGACCATCCTAAAAATTAGATTCTGTACATGAAAATGTATGAATTTGTTATAATTTTCCATGCATGTTTTTGAGGATTGTTTTAAATTACGCCCCCCCTCCCCCCACCACTGTACCTGGAAAAGCAGGGGGGATGGTGCAGGCAGTAAGACCCTTGCTCCCACTGCCTACCCTCCTGTCCCTTGCCCCTTCCCATGCCTGTATTGGTCCCTGCCACCTGTCCCCTCTGCCACTTGTCCCCACCTGGTCCCTTCTCTGAATTTCAGTTCCATAGCCTCTATTGTTGCCTTGAAATTCATGGTGTTAGAAATCAGATTTGCTATCTAAGAGGTACTCACACGGCTGATTTTAGAGCCATCTCCCACCAGCCACTAATAAAACAATCTCTTTTTGTGCTCCCTTTAAACAGGTGAAGATGTAAAACCAAGAGACTATATTGTTGCTCTGCAACACCCTGTGACCACTGATATTAAACATTCCATAAAGATGTTTGAATTAACATTGGATGCACTTATCTCCTTTAACAAGAGGACACTCGTTCTGTTCCCAAACATTGATGCAGGTGAGTGAAGCAAGTCCTTCTTATTGTGGTTCTTCATTAAAACAAGAATTGCTCTCTGAGTTTAAAAGAATTCTATGTGGACTTCTTTCACTATTTTTCATTTTGCAACCTCTTTTGATCTGCTTTTATCCTTCTTCACTCCAGCTTCTCAGTCAGGCTTCCTTTCCTCGTGCTACATTGCTATGTGGCGATATCTCTGTAATCTGAGCATCCGGTCAGAATTTGCTGAAACTGCCAGGTCTGACTCAAGCAAGAACACCCAGCATTTCAGCTTACTGTGGGAATTAAATGGAAAACCATACAACCTATAGGGGGAGGGAAGAAGAAGCAGTTAGTTCTTCTGCTTGTGTGCTGGCTCTAAAAAAATGTTTAATGTTCCCCAATGGTTTTAGAACCCCACTTTCTGCTCAGTGCCACATTGATGGGTCACATGGAGATGGGAAGAGAGAGCAGATTGGAACAGGTATATGGAGCTGGTAGGGGCAATAGCAGTCGTGTCCCTCATACCATACTTCTGTGTTGGGCAGGACAGCTGTTATCATCTAATTGCTATAGATCAGTGGTTTTCAACCTTTTTTCATGTGTGGACCCCTAAAAAATTTTGAATGGAAGTGTGAACCTGTTTGAATTGTAAGTATGAGTCTTCACCTACTTCTGATTGATCATAGTCCTCTTTTGTGGATCCCTTAGGCACAGTATGCAGACTTCCAGGGGTCTGAGGACCACAGATTGAAAACCACTGCTGTAGACCCAATTGTTATTCCAGCAATACATTACAATTCAGCTAAATGCTAGTGTTTTGTTCTCAATTGTTGGCTTTTCCCATAGGAAGCAAAGAGATGGTTCGAGTTATGAGGAAGAAGGGCATTGAGCATCATCCCAATTTTCGAGCAGTAAAGCACGTTCCATTTGACCAGTTCATCCTATTAGTGGCTCATGCTGGCTGCATGATTGGTAACAGCAGCTGTGGTGTTCGAGAGGTGGGAGCATTTGGTACCCCTGTTATCAATCTAGGAACACGTCAGACAGGAAGAGAAACAGGTATGAATTTATTGCTGTGTCATTCAGTCATTTTAAAATTTAAGTACAAATTTACAAGCACATCAGTATATTTTTTTACCAGGAATCATTACATCAGGACAAATTTTGATCTACCTGTGCAGGTTCATTGATCTATTTGTACTGTAATGCTGACAGTGCTACCATGTTTTATTGCAAAGCAAGGCTTTTATTGTCTGATTCAGGGCTGCAGGGGCAACGCGTAGGGGGTGCATGCAGGTATACGTGCACCCCCTAAGTGTGTCAGTGCACCCCCTGCAAAAGGCACCACTGACACTGTCAGCGGCGCCTGTGGGCAGTCGTCGCTCGCCACCCCGCTGCCAACACCACTGGAGGCGTCTGCGGGAGGTCTATGATCACCACTGGCCACTGCCAACGCTGCTGGTAGCGCCTGCAGGTGGTCACCGACCCCTGGTCAGTGCTCGACACCCCCATGCCGCCAACAGTGCCAGCGGTGTCTGCCGGAGCTCCTAGCTTACTGCCGCTGCACTCCCGCTGCCGCCAATGCAGCTGCGCCCCCCCAGCTGCCGGGGGCATGCACCGTTCATGCAGGGCTGTCCAACTTCTAAGTGGCTGGAAGCCATGTGCCACCCAAGCTGCACCACGTGCCACCCAGGCTGCACCATTCCCGTAGTCCATGCTCCCCCACCACTATACCACCCAGGCATAACCTTCCTGCCTCTCTACCCCACTGCACCACATGCCCACATGGCTGGGGACTTGCTCTCCACTGCTTCTGCTATGTGCTGCACTTCCCCACCTCCTGAAGCCGGGATAGGAAGTGGCAGCTTGAGGAGGGAAAGGGAGCCCAGAACTCTAGCTGCTATTGCAGCCAGATTGATAGGGGGAGCAGTGGCAGGGTTAGAGCCCAGGGGCTGTCACTTAACCCCTTGCGGGCCACATGTGGCCTGCAGATCACCAGTTAGACAGTCCTGGTTTAATTAAATATCATCATTCTTCAGTGGCTTCCACTTACCAGAATATACAGCTGCATATTTTTCCTTGATGGGCATAAATATGTGTGGCATACCTAAAACTATACAAACACCCATATTGTCACCACCACTGGCTTATATTCTTGTTGTATCTATGCTGTCCTTATGTGTAGGCATTCTATAGACAGTTGCAAGAATTCCGTTGTCTAGTCCTTCTAGGCCATGGTATGGTACAATAGGAAGTTTACCACTTACTACAGTAGAATCAAGATCAGGCACATACCAAGGTTCCTTTGTAAATGTTGGTGTAGCATCAACCTGTGAAAAGTAAGGTAACACACACACAGAAGTATGGGTGCTGCCTGCAGAAAGATTGCTGTGTCAAAGGTTGACACCTACTCACTAGGAACATATTTGTTTCAAATTTCATTTTTTCTCTAATATAATTTATCACGTAATTGACGCATGCTAGAATCATGTTGCATTTCTAATTATCTAAGGTGAAAATGTTCTTCATGTTCGTGATGCTGATACACAGGACAAAATACTTCAAGCTCTGCATCTGCAGTTTGGCAAACAGTATCCTTGGTAAGTGTACATCCACCCATTTTACTGCTTTGGACCATAAAGCAGCAGAGAAGAAGGCTCTTAGCTCTGGGCTGGGAAATAGACTTCGCTGTAATAGACCTCAGTTTGTCCAAGATTTGCTCAGTGCTTTATGAAAAAGATACTATTTCATATCCTATTACATAAAATAGAAAGGAGTTTGCAAATCTCTCAGTATTGTTGTACAGTGTGCTCAGGAGATGAAATGTTATTTAAATGAGGGTCCCAGGGCTAAAGGTCCACAACTGTCCTTTATATATAGGTATGTACAATACCTCCCAACAAGGCTGTCCAACTGGTGGCCCAGAGGCTGCATGTGGCTTGAGAGAGGCTAACAGCAGACTGGGCTCCTGCCCAGCTGCTACTCCCCTCATTGGTTTTGATGCAGTAGCAGCCAGGGACTCTGAGCCCTCTCCCTTCCTAGTGTCCGCTTCCTGCCCCCACTCCTGGGGGTGGGGTAGCACAGCAGGAGTGGTTTGGGGTGCCCACATTGCATGCACAGTGAGGGAGGGAGCTGGCCTACTTGCACTGTGCATGTGGCAGGGGGAGCTGGGTGACCTATGCTGCATTCATGGCGGTGAGGATCTGGGCTTCCCATGTTCCATGTGCAGTGCTGGGGGGAGCTGGGCTGCCTGTGTTGCATGTGCAACAGGGGGGAGCAGCCCATGCAGCATGCCCAGCCAGAAGCTGCTAGCTAGGTGAGCCTATACACATGGTAAAGGGGAACAAGTCTGCCTGTGCAGTAAGGGGAGGGGAGGGCTGGGGCCCACATAGCAAGCAGCATGCAGCCCCTGGTCTGTGGCCCATGCAACACGTGGCCCCCAACTACCAAGAAGTCAGACAGCCCTACCTTACAAAAATTATCATTATTTGCTGGAGACTTACAAGGATGTGTACTCTAATGCCCAGCAAGTCATACCACGTATAATAGATCTGTACAGACAAGATAGATTTAAGTACAGGAAACCTCTTGACTCTTCATTTCCTTAATTTCAGACCTTGATGCATGCATCTCTTTGTGTGTGTTGCAGCCTTCCCTTGATTTGAAAAAGACAGAAAAAAATACCCAATACATTTTCCACCTCTTGTCCCAAAGTTGAGATAATTCCAAATGTTTGCTACCAAGAGGTGCCCAGCCCTCAGGCTGCCCCAGATTACTAAAGCAAAGTCTGTCATAAGATATGTTAAGTAACTTATGGCAGACTTGCATACACCTGAAACACAGTATTCTTGTGGCAGACACCATGGGTGTCTATGTGCATGCAGTGAGGCTGCTTCAACATGCTGTAATTACAGTGTGTTGGAGAAGACTCGATTAATCGAGTCTGCTGGAGCATGGTAATTACCACACAGCAAGTCGTGTATTAGCATATTACTGCAACAAGTCATGTATTGGCATCCCTACGCTGGAAAATAACCGTGAGGCCACTTTAACTAAAGCTCATTCAATGAGCTCTGCTGCCCTTTTTCAGTGTAGGGACGCTGGTACATGAAATGCTCTGGGCATTTTAATCAGAGTCGCGCTCAGAGCTGCTCTAATTAGTGCCTCCCCACCCACTCCTGGAGCACGTGTATAAATGTCCCATGTCATGATATATTGGATGGGCAATTATTTTGGCTGCTTAAGGAGTTTATGTGAGCTGTCGAGGGCCACAAGGGTAGCCACCCCCTGGTCACCATCTTAGGACTGGAAATTGCACCCCAACCCCTGATCTTTGCCAGCAGAAGTCCCTCCCCTTGGCCCAGAAGTACTTCCCGGGAGGAAGGGGGTGGAGGCTGCCATCTTGGAACCAGAAGAAAAAAAACAAATCATACTAAAAAAAATCAAACATCTACTATAGCTTATTTTGATTTTATTTTTAAGAATATTTTTATCCTGATTTATGTGTATTTGCATAGTGTATCTAGAGGGAATTGCAAAACAGCTCAAAATACAGACCTACTCTTGTGTATTGTGTGGGGGGCGGTAAGGGCATGTATGAGGGTGTGTGGTTGGGAAGCAGGTGTGTGTATGGGGTTTGGCTATGATGAGTGAGGTGGGGGGTGGGTGTGGATGTGGGGTATGTGGTTGGGTTGGGGGCTGTGGAAGAGTGTAGGTGTACAAGGGGTTATGATGGAGGGGTGGGGTGGGGTGTGTGCGTGGATGCGTGCGTGTGTGTGTGTGTGTGTGTGTGTGTGTGTGTGCGTGCACTGTGAGGGAGTTCTTGGAGTCCCTGGAGCTGCATGTGGTGGCAGCAAGCAGGGCCAGCACTGCCTGACCCCATAGCATACATACAGCTCTCCACACTCCCAGTCCCTAGCCATAGGTGGTGGCAGGGTGTGAGGCCAGCCTCACCTGGCCTCATAATACTCAGCTCCTGCACTCCCACCCCAGTCCCCAGCTGCACATAATGGCAGGGTGCGGGACTAGCCCCACCCAGCCCCATAACATGCAGCTACCACCCAAGTCCCTGACCACAAGAGGTGGTAGTGTATGGGGCCAGCCTCAACCAGCCGCCTAGTGCTCCCACCCAAGTCCCCAGCCGCACTTAGTGGCAAGATGTGGGGCCAACTCCACCTGGCTACATAGCACGCAGCTCCTGCACTCTCATCCCTTTCCCCCAACGGGAGTCTCTGGTCCCAGCACAGTGGGGCCATTGCCTGAATTTCCACTCTTGCAGGGAGGCTGGGAATAGCCATGGGGTTGCCAGCAAAAGCCTCTGCCAGGCAGAGGTTTCTTGTCTCTGGCTCCCCCTGGCTCAGGGCTGGGGCGGGTCAGGCCAGGCTGGGGCGGGGCGGGGGGGGGCATTGCTTAGCAACCAGAGCCACACCTCCTGCAAAGATGCACCAGATTGCAGAGGGGCAGCCAAGGGCCAGGGATTGCAGAGGACCCCATGGGCTGGATGGAAGTGCCTGAGGGGTGGAATCCAGCCTGCAGGCTGTATTTTGCCTGATCACGTGATGTAACTTGTGGCTTCTGTTTTATAAGCAGTTTACAGTTTTACTTATGTTGATGGCTTTTGATCTTGCAGTTCAAAAATATATGGGGATGGTAATGCTGTTCCAAGGATTCTGAAGTTTCTCAAATCTATTGATCTTAAAGAACCACTGCAAAAGAAGTTCTGCTTCCCTCCTGTAAAGGAGAGCATCTCACAAGATATTGACCATATCATGGAAACCCAGAGTGCTTTGGCAGTGGATCTAGGTGGAACAAATCTCCGAGTAGCAATAGTCAGTATGAAGGTAATCATCTTACTAGGTTTGTAGGCTGAGTTGTGCTCATAGCTGCATAGGGGGTAGAGGAGGGCAGTACAACACTGCAAGGAACAGCCACTCCAAGTGAGGTAGATCTTGGATGCACCAAAAAAGAACTCCTTCTGCTACTGGGATATGAATTTTGTCACCTCTGTAACCAGTGAAAAACTTCTGTGTCAGTTATCCAAATGTGTTAGTGTTTTGTGGGGTTTGGTCCAGTGGACAGTGACTGTGATCCTTCTTCCAGAGAACAGATACTAGAACAAAAACAGCCATCATCACAGTGGCCATGCTGGAATTCTCTGAGAAATTGAAGGCCGTGGTTCTTAACCTTTATGGACTCGAGGCACCCCTTTGTAACTTATCTTGTGACACTTCACTTATCTCCTCACACAAGGCTGACCACCTTTTTAAAATGTAAAGGCGGGACAAATGCCCGCCTCCCCATCTCCCGCCTCCACTGGCAGCATGGCCAGAGCAGAACCAAGCGATTTGGGGGTGGATATAGGCTGTGGGCTGGGGTTCCATGCCGTGCTGCCCTTCCCTCAGGAGCCCTGTGCTAACTGCTTGCCCCTGCCCACCCAGCAGCAGCAGGGGGCACAACTCCATGCCACCACCACCCCCACTGCTGCTGGGCAGGTAGGGGTGCATAGCTGGCATAGGGCTCCCAGGGGGAGGGCAGCAGGGCGGGGAGCCCCCAGCAGGCAGCCCGCATCTGCTGTTGCCCCACACACCAATTTGGGGGGGCATGTGTCCCCCATGTTCCTCCCAGGGGTGTATGTAGCAGTGGGGAGCCAGACCCACAGCTACCCCCTGGACAAGCCACCCATGGCTCTGTCCCACTCCACACCCTGGCCCCTTGGCTGGGCAACACCCCCAGCTCCTGCCCACTCTCTCCCTCACAATGGGGACCTCGATCTCTCCTCTTCCCATCTCCCATGTCCACTGCCCTCCATAGACTTACCTGCAGGAAGCTGCTCTCCATGCTGCCTGGCTGTATTCCCTGCTATGTGCATGCATGTTAGCACCCACATGCATGTGTTGCTCCCTGCATACTGCTTCTAGCAGCCTCTTGCAGGCTGGAACGCTGCCAGCTAGCAAGGGGAAACCCGCTCTTTCCTTATCCCTGCACAAGGCTGTTAACCCCGGAAGAAATACTGTCGGAAGTCATGCAGCCTGGGACCAAAACTTGACGTTCCCATTCCAGTATTATCCCACCCAATTAGGGACAGGTGGTCACCCTACCTCATACCTCCTGGCACCCTAGAAATACAGACCTGTTTTTAAAGTTAGTGGTGCTGTAACTGAAACACCAAAAGAAATGATTTGTTATGCTGTGCATTAATGTAACAGAACAGGACTAAATGGTTTTCTTTTTTAGGGTGAAATAGTTAAGAAAATTACCCAGCTCAACCCTAAAACTTTTGAAGACAGAATAGAACTGATCGTCAAGATGTGTGTGGAGGCTGCATCAGAAGCTGTAAATCTGAACTGCAGAATTCTGGGAGTGGGTAAGTTAATGAATATTGAATTTTTCTTCTGAGAATTTCAAAACTAAATTAAATCATTGCAAATGAATTAATTTTAAATGTTTTTCAGAATTAATCCTGTGCATTTTTACAGCTCTTGGATTTTACTGATAATTTTATTCCTTCATTTACTAAGTGAAACAGTGGGCTTTTATAAAATTACAAATTATGTAAACATTGGCTGGAGTCAGATCTGTCTGTAAGTATGATCTGTGAAAACTACCCACAAAGTTATGCCAGAGTGTCTCAGTTCTGACCTACAACATCATTTTATTTCCAGTCCTGGTCCTTTCATAAAAAGAAACTGTTTTCTGTGCCAAAAGGTGTGACGTTAGAAAGAAAGAACGTACAGTTCTTTAAGAGGAACAGAGAATTGATTGCTCAGGCGTCCAAACAGCCAGGGCCCCTGCCATAATTAGATTATTATAATAATGATTATAATAATGTTTGAAAAGATTCAGAGCTTCATTTGCATCAATCATTTTCTTGATCATAGCCGCCCACTGGTACCTGGCCTGGGAGACTGCCAGCCACAGAGGAAAGCACCAGGCCTGGCACAGCTCAGGAGCTGTGCAACCCAGTAACATCCCATGCGGGCAGGCTCCACTGAAGAAAAAATAAAAAGCGATGAGGAGCCTGATCTCTTTTTTTTTTTTTTTTTTTTTTCCCCCTCCCTGGAGCCTGCCTGCTTTCCTGAGCCATGTGGGGGCCCAGTGCTTCCCTCTGCGGCTGTGGCACCCCCTGGAACCGCCTGGGCCACGTGCCAGTTGGTGGGTGCTGCCTGGGGGGCGCTGCTGCTCGTGCAGAGGGAAGCACCAGGCCTCCGCGCAACTCAGGGACCACTCGGCCCGCTGGCAGCATTTTACCACCCCCACCCTGCCTCAGCCACTGGAGAGGCAGGTAAGGATCAGGCCCCCACCTTTGTGTACACGCCATGGAGGTTTAGTTCGGTTTAATTCTCCCTTAATTGAAACGGTGGAAACGATGGGTGTTTAAAAACCCGCTGTTTCAATTGAGGGAGAACTAAACTGAATTTAACCCCTGTGGTGTATACAAGCACCCATAGTGCCCATCTTTAAGAAAAGGAAGAAGGCTCTGAGGAATTACAGATTATTTGTTATGATCTTGATACTTGGGAAGATCATGTAATGTCATCAAGGAATCTGCTTTAGGCAGGAAAACAACACCTTGTTGGTGGAAGACAAGGTGATCAGGAAATGCCAACATGGATTCCTCTAGAGCAGGCCTGTCCAACTTCTGAGTGGCTAGGGGCCGCACACAGCCACAGGCCATACAGCAGACAGTGCAGGCCCCCCATCATGTTCTGCTGGGCAGCAGGGCTTCCCCTGCCTGCACAGGCACCCCGCCCC